GGGATGAGTGCCCGGGAATACAGCTGCTGGGTCGTATGGGATTTCTATGCTGTTTAAGAAACTGCCACAGTGTTTGCAGCGGGTGCTGTACCATGTTACAGTCCCACCAGCAGTGTGAGGACCTCCACATCCCTGCCAGCCTTTGGTGTTCTCAGGGGTTCCTGCAGCAACTCTGGAGGGTATGGAGTGATACCTTTTCACTTGCACTTGCCTAGTGGCTAGGGATGCTGAACACTTACCTGCTTTTTTTATTCTAGTCATCTTGGTGGGTATGAAGCGCTGTCCCATTGTGGTTTTGATTTTCATTTCCATGATGACTAATGATATCTTTTCATGTGCTTATGGCCTATTTACATATAATTTTTGGAGAAATACCTATTCAGATCCTTCGTCCAGTTTTTAATTAGGTTGTCTTATTGGGTTGTAAGAGTTCTTTATACGTTCTAGAAACAAGTCCCTTATCAGATAAATGACTTGCAAACATTTTCTCCCATTCTGTGGGCTATATTTTCACTTTCTTGATGGTGGCCTTTGAAACACAAAAGTTCTAAATTTTGGTGAAATAGAGTCTCCCACAAGTGGGGTCTAAACAGAAGGGAGCCCCACCTCTTGGCCACACTTGCCTGGGGTTCAGCTCCAGCAGCGGGCATCTGGGGGCAGGATAAGAGGTGCCAAAGCCCTTCATCCCCCCAGAGTAGGGGCAGGGGGTGAACACAGGGGCCCTGTGTTCTTGGCTGCACCACTCAGCACACGGTGGATTCTCAAATACTCTAGACTCTGCTTTCTTCGTAAATTTGCATAGATTTATTTTATTTGGCTGTGCCACGTGGCATGCGGGATCTTAGTTCCCCAGCCGGGGGAAACCCACTACCCCTGCAGTGGAAGCACAAAGTCTTAACCACTGGACCGCCAGGGAATTCCCAGCATAGATCTTGAATAGCTATTTCTTCACCTATTTGCCCTTCAGACCCTTTCCAGGAGCTTTAATTGTTTGCCTGTTTTATAATTTTCACCAGTTTTCACTGGGGAGCTGGTCAGTGGAGCTCCTCATGCTTTCATTCTGAAGTCCATCTGCATTTTACTTATTTTTCTTGCCTTGCTGCAGGGGTTAGAACTTCCAGCACTGTTTGAAAACAGGGTGGGGGAGGGGAGCTTCTGTTGAGAACAGGCATCCCTGCCTTGTTCCCAATCTTAGAAAGCATTCAGTCTTTCACCACCAAGGGTGATGTTAGCTGTAAGGCTTTTGTATATGATTTTTAGCAAGTTTATTTTAACTTGCTGAGAAGTTTGGTTTTTTTTAATCTGAATGGCTGATGGGCTACATGTCAAATGCTTTTTCTGTATCAATTGATAAATAATCTTTCTTCTTTAGTCTGTTGGTGTAGTGGGTTATGTTGATCTTCAAGTGTTGAACCACACTTGCATAGCTGGAATAAATTCTACTTGGTCATGACGTATACTTCTTTTTATACGTTGTTGGATTCGATGTGCTTATATTTTAGATTTTTTTGTGCCTATGTTCATGGAAGCTATTGGTTTGTAGTTTTTGTTTGTTTGGGGTACTATCTTTGTGTGGTCTGGGTGTCAGGGTATTCCTTGTCTCCTAAAATGAGTTAGGAAGTGTTTCCTCCTATTTTGTGGAAGAGATTGTCTAAAATTGATGTTAACTCTACTTTAAGTACTTGGTAGAACTCCAGTGAAACTATCTGGGCCTGAAGACTTCTTTGGGGAATCTTTTTTTTAAGTTACGAATTCAATTGCTTTCATGGTTTTAGGACTATTCATATTATCTGTTTCATCTAGTTTGAATTTTTGGTAGATTTCAATTTTCAAGCAATTGTCCGTTTCTTCAAAGTTGCTGAATTTATGAGCATTGTTGGTAGCATTCCCTTGGTATCCTTGAAATGCCCTCAGACTCTGTAGCCCTGCTATTAGTCAGCATTCTCCAGAGAAACAGGGCTAGCAGAATATATGAGAGAGAAAAATGTAAGTGGAGATTTATTACAGGAATTGGCTCTGCAGTTATGACAGCCGAGAAGTCCCATGATTTGCATTTCTCAAGCTGGAGAACCAGGAAAACCATAGTCATTGGTATAAACCCAGTCCAAGTGCAAAAGCCTGAGAACGGGGAGGGGTGTGGGGTGGCGTGTCACTGGTATGAGCCCTGGAGTCCAATGTCCGAGGGTAGGAGAAGGACGTCCCAGCTCAAGAAGAGAGTGAATCCACCGTTCCTTCATCCTTTTGTTTCTCTCTGACCCACCGCAGCGGATTGGCTGATGCCCACCCACATTGGTGAGGGCGGACCTCTACTCAGTCTACTGAATTAGATGCTCATCTCCAGAGATGCCCTCACACACACACCCAGAAACAGCATTTAACCGGCTAACTGGGCATCCCTAAGCCCAGTCAAGTTAACACACAAAATTAACCATCATAGCCCACATTGCATACTGGTCATTTGTGTCTTCTCTATTTTTGTCCATCTTGCAATTTTATCAGTTTTCCAAAGAACTATTCTTTTGTGTTTCATTGATTTCCTCTGTTGTTTTCCTGTTTTCAGTTTCATTGATTTCTGCTCTGGACTTTCCTTCTTTCTGCTTGTTTTGGTTTATTTTGCCCTTCTTTTCCTAGTTTCCTGAGGTAGGACCTTAGATGATTGATTTGAGACCTTTCCTCTTTTCTGATGTGCTGTAAATATTCCTCTTAGCACTGTTACCTGCAGACCACATAATCTGATTTTGTATTTTTATCTTCATTCAGTTCAGTTCTGTGTTTCTTAAAATTTTTCTTCTTCTAGATGTGATTTTCCTGGTTGTTGGGTTCTTCCCTGATTTCCCCGGTATGATGGGTGTTTTTTTTTTTTTAATTGTATCCCAGACGGGCTATTGTGTTCAAATTTTTAATTTTAGCAGGCAGTCATCCTGTTTGGGTTCGAGATGCAGGTCCTGGGCTGCTTTCACGGCCTGTGGATCTAACGACAGTATGACATTCAGGGACTCTCTTGCACTGTGTTGGTCTCATGCCGCTGGGCCCTCCTGGTGCTCTCGAATGGGTGGGAGGCACTTCCTAGGCTGGACCATCCTGTGCCTTGGGTCGGGGAGGGGGTGTTTTCCTGGGGGAGGAAGCCCTGCTTGCTGGGCTGAAAGCCTGCCGTGGTGGGGTTTCCCTTGCCAGTGCCCCCACCCGCCAGAGCCTCTGGTTGGGGTAGGGGGGGCAGGAGCCTGAGTGAGGCGGGGCACGGTGTGGGGAGGAGTGTGCTTCCCTTGACCCCATATCAGGAGACTTCCCTTGATCTTCGTACCAGTTCTGCCAGATTCCCTAGAATTGTGACAGACTCCCGTCCACTGGCCCTCCTCCTGGTAGCAGCTGTGTGTGGGGAGGAGGGGTGGGTTAGGAAATGCCGGGCTTGGGTCCCCTTCTGTTGGGTGGGCTGCTCTGCTGTTCCTCCAGTCCTGGGGTCCCTCACCAGCTCACCTTCCTCTTTTCATCTTTGAGAGTTCAGTTTTGGTGGTCTCTAATTTCCTGCATTTTTCTTGGCTTAGTCAGGAGGAGCAGGGAGACAAGCTCACGCCACAGGGGCTGGCAGAGAAGTGAGACTTAGGAAGGACTCCGCTGAGGCGATGAGAAAGGGGCTGTAGGAGGACGCAACTTTCCCCCCCGCCCCGGCTGTGCCGCGGCTTGTGGGATCTTAGTTCCCCTACCAGGGCTTGAACCCGGGACCCAGCAGTGAAAGCGCCGAGTCCTAACCACTGGACCGCCAGGGAGTTCCCTGAAGGAGCAACTTAGAAACTCTTGGATGTTTCCAAGACCCAAGAGGGTGAAGATGGGTGTGGAGGAAAGGGAGGAAGAGGACTGCCCCACCAGTGGGATAGACGGACAGATTTCCAGCGACAGAGAGGGATGCAAGATGCAGGGCTTAGATTGGGACGTGATGTGTCTGGTGCCTGGTGCAGCGGGGAGATGCCCAGCAGGCAGCCCCTGGCTCCGTGGGCTCTGGGGTAGAGCCAACAGAAGACTGAGGATGGAGGAGACTCCCTCCGCAACAATGGCCGCTCTGATTGCCTGCCCCCGCCCCCGTCTATCTCTGGGGTGGTGACAATGTTCATCTGTCTCCCGGAGCCTGGCACAGGGCGGGTGCTCGGCGAATCTGAGTGCAGGCGGGCCTGCGTGGAAGCAAGGGCGCATCTCCGGAAAGCTCGGGGAGGGTTTGCGTCCTCGGGGGTGTGGCAGGGGCGGTTGCTGAGAATGGAGGAAGGCGTGTTTCTCTATCTTCCTTCCATTGCCCGAGAGCTGAAGGGTGGGACAGCGCTGAGCCGCGGGGAGCCCCGGGGACCAGTCAGCCCGGAGCTCCGCTGGGGCTACCTTCCCTGCTGCGCTCCCGCCAGCCGGCTCTGGTTGCCATGGCCCGGGAGGCGGTTGCCACGGAGACCGACGTGCGAGGACCAGCCAATCAGTGAGGAGCTGCGGCGCCAGCTCTCCTCTTGGATGAAGGCGTCGGGTTAGGCTGGGGACCCCTGCCCGGGTAGCTGAGGGCCGGGAGTTCGAGCAGGGGCACTACGCCGCCGCCTCCCCCCAAAGCGCTCGGCCCCCCATAACCTCCAACACCCCCGCCGGCCCCGCACCCCGAATTCTGGAGACCCTCTGACTCTTCCCGACCCGGCTAAGGGCTGACGCCTCCGACTGGCCCTGAACCCCTCTCCCGTTAGTGGGGTCGGAGGGGTGATGCTGCGGGAAAGGCGGAGCCGCGGACCGCGGGTGGAGAGTGCAGCCGGGGTGGGGTATGGGGAGGGAAGGAGGCTGTCCCACCCCCTCCGCTCCCTGCGCACCGCAGTGCCTGGCGCGCCCGCGCACGCTCACTCGGAGCGCTGGGCGGGCGGGGCGGCGCTGACGTCATCCACTGACCCTCTTCACCCCCCGGCCGAGGGGCGGTGGCCGCGCAGGCTCCGCGGAACGGACTCACGGACAGACAGGGGACGGAGGGACGGGCGTACGGCCAGGCCATGCCGGGGGAAGCTGCCCGCGCCGAGCTGCTGCTGCCGGAGGCGGGCGGAACAGGGCCCCGCACAGGTGAGGCCGCGGGGCTCTCCTGCCTGCCTGTGTCTCCGCCAACCCCTCCCATCGTCCCCGTCCCCTCTCCACCCCTCTCTCTTCGTCCCTGTCCCCATACCATCTCCGTCCCCGTTTCCTCTCCGCTCCCCGCCTTCTCTCCGTCCCTCTCTCTCTCCATCCCCGCTCCGTCCCCTTCCTTGGTCCCCTGCCCCTCCGGGCACCGGAATCCTAGCCCAGCCCTGGCCCCCACTCAGGACTGCAGGGAAGGGCGGGGTGGAGCAGGGATGTCCTCCAGGAGCCAGAAGCGACTTGAAGGCCTTCGAGCGTCCAGGGCTCCGTGCGCTCCCCGCCAGGGTCCCCTGCCGCGCCCCATTGTCTGAGGGGAGCAAGGGGCCTCGCGGCCCCTGCAGCTCTGGACTGGAGGCTGCGGGTTGTCAACTGCACCCCGGCCACTGGGGATGCGCCGGGCACCCGCCCCTCCAGATGCTTGAGAACCGCCTCAGGGCTGGCGACTGGTCCTGGCTCAGGAGGGAGGAACAGGGCTGGAGCTGGAGCCTGGGGAAGCTGGAGGTGCCAGCTGAGGTCTGGAACGTGGGAGGCCCTGGGGGAGCATGGCCTGGGGAGCAGTAGCCCTGGAGTGCAGGCCCGAATCCTTGGAGAGACTCAGTCAGCAAGTGTGGGAGGGAATCTGCCTGGGCCTGGGAAAACCAGCCAGGGATGGCCACCGGGCAGGAGGTCAGCCATGTGAGGCTCCCGGAGGGCCAAGGGCACCTGACTGTGGGTGAGAAGTCTCCTGGGGATGAAACCAGGGCTGGGTCCAGGGGCCTGGCCTCCTTCTGGGTCCGGTGGGGCTGGCTCTGCTTGGCTTTGCTTGGACTGTTTGGCGACCTTGAATGAGGCACAAAAGTCTTTGACCTTTGGCTTCCCTTCCTCTGCCCCCTTGGCCCAGCTTCACCCTCTGGCTGCCTTGGGGCCCTGGAGTCCAGTGCGGTGCACAGGGGTACCACGCCAGGCTCAGTGCCAAGAGCCTGATCTCCAGCACCCAGCCCTGCCTGCCACACCCACCTCCCGGGGTTAGGTATTCATCACACTCCAGTGGACCCAAAGGACCCCCTTCTCAGGACGCCCTGGCCACGCCAGCACCCCAAGCAGTGTGGCCCAAGGGCCCGGGTTCTGCCACTGCTGCAGCCAACGGGCAGCCTGGGGAGGGGGCTGCCCCTGCGTAAGCTCCCCTCTGATCCTGGCAGACACTCTCCCCTTTGCATACTGGAAGCTGAGGCACAGGAGATGTTGTACTTGTGGGAGGTCTTGGGTGAGCACGGTAGAACAGGAACTCTCCAGAGAATGTGGCCGGGGCTGGGCAGCCCCTGTCCACTGCCGTGGGACGCCCCACAGACGTCCCTGGCAGAGGGAGCCAGGCCTGCCAGCCCTGCGGGGCGGCTGCCACCGTGGACACTCAGCTGGACACTCTCTCAGGCCCCCACAGCTGCACACAGGGCAGGGCAGGGCCACCTCTGCTTCCCCGGAGGGCCAGCACCACTGCCAGCACGGCCTCTGGCTGAGCTGGGACGTCCTGCCTGAGGACCACACGCCGTGGCCCCTGCTTCCCCTAGTGCATGTGGCAGCTCTGGGAACAGGGGTGGGGTGAAGCCCAGGGAGACCCCGACAGCTTGGCCTCGGGTGCGGGCAGCGAGGAAAGGGGAGAGATGAGGCAGAGAAGCAAGAGCCCCACTTCACAGCAGGCGTGAGATCTGGAATGTCCCAGAGCTGAGTGGAGTGCAGGCCTCCTACTCCCTGGGCGCCCACTGACCTGGGGGGTCATAAGCAGGCATCTCCTGGCAAGCCCGGCCGAGGCAGCGCAGATTACGGGCAAGGAGTCAGCAGGCTAGTGTCTGAGGCGACGGGAGCTGGTCTCATCTTTCCTGAGCATCTCGGAGAAGAGCCAGACCTCAAGCTGCTCACCGTGGTCAGAACTCTTGGAAATCCTCCCCCAGGCACAGCAATCGCCTTTCCCTCTCATGACCTCTCTTTTCAGTGGACACCCACCCCCGCGGGCCCCCAGTCCTGTGCTCAACTCCCGTCTGAGGGAGGGATGGCTGCAGCCTGGGAGCTGCTCCTCAGGGAAGATGCCTGCCCTTCTCACGCCCTTCTCTCTCCACAGATCTGTCCTGCGATGCGGCTGCGGCTACCACCCCGAGGGGGGACCAGCTGGAGCACTGTGTCCTGACCCCTAAGCCCAGTGCCCTGGCTCTCACGTTCCTGCCCAGCAAGCCGGGTGCCCGGCCCCCGCCTGACGGAGCCAGCTGGGATGCAGGGCCGGGACGCGTCCCCTCGGCCTGGGCAGTCCAGGCAGAGGGCGACCCCAGCCCAGGGCCCTCCGAGGTTCGGCCTGCTGAAGGTCCTCTCCCAGCCTCCCTGGAGCCCCGGATTGTGATGGGCGAGGAGACGTGCTGGGCATCCCCACTGCCCAGGGCAGCCCTGCCAGAGCTCAGGGACTGGCAGGGTGGGCACACCAGCCTGAACCCGCCCCCCGAGTTGTGTTCTCAGGGTGACCCTCCTGTGCCTTTCCCTGCCCCCGACTCCGATTCCTACTTCACACCCCCCTCCACCCCAACCGAGACAGCCTCCACCCTGCTCCCTGGCCCCGGGCCCCACGGGGATGCCCAGGATGAGCTGGGGAACTCACCACCAGCCTCGCCCTCAGGCTCCTACATCACGGCGGACGGGGACAGCTGGGCCTCGTCTCCATCCTGCTCCATGAGCCTGCAGGCCCCGGATGAAGGGCTGGATGTGCCCTCAGGCTGGGGCTTCTCCCCACCTGGGTCTGTGGCCGATGAGAGGGAGCTGCCCCCTGCCGGGACCCCGGACACCTCGTCCCCAGAGTCCAGCCTCTCAGCAGACAGCAGCTCTTCCTGGGGCCAGGAGGGCCACTTCTTCGAGCTGGACTTCCTGGCCAACGACCCGATGATCCCTGCTTCCCTCCTGCCCTTCCAGGGCAGCCTAATCTTCCAGGTGGAGGCTGTCGAGGTGACCCCGCTGCCCCCTGAGGAAGAACAGGAGGAGCAGGCGGAGGAGGGCGAGGAGGAGGCCCCCAGCCCCAGCGGGGACCTGGCCGGGCAGGGCGAGGACGACAGCACGTTCGCGTCCTCGCTGCAGTCGCTGTCCGACCTGTCCATCACTGAGGGCATGGACGAGGCCTTCGCCTTCCGAGATGACACCTCGGCCGCCTCCTCTGACCCTGACTCGGCCTCCTACGCAGGGGGTGACGATGAGAGACTGTACAGCGGCGAGCCCCACGCACAGCCCACCACCCTGCTCCAGGACAGCCCTGGTGAGGCTGCCTCCTGGGGCCCCGAGCCCACTCTTGGGGTGTCCGAGGGAGAGGTTGGCCGGGCTGCCAAGAGCCAGGAACCCATCTCCGATATAACGGGGGTGGGCCCCGCTCCAGGCCAGGTGTCCGCTGCTGCTATGGCTCCTCACGTCCCACAGAAAGCCCCAGGCCTCACTGTGGTGACCCCTCGGGCCTGGGTAGCAGAGGCAGGCTCCACCATGGGACCAGCACCTGTTGCCACAATCACACCTCAGTCCCTGGAGGAGGAAGACGGCGCTGCCTTAGGCTTAGAGTCTCCAACTTCGAAGGGAGAGGCGGGCCTCGACTCTCTGCAGAACCTGAAGGAAGAAACAGGCCAGGGGTTTGCCGCTGCAGGCAGCCCTGAGCCCCAGCCAGGAGAAGTGGAACCGGCAGTATCCCTGCCCCTGCAGGATGCAGGCCTCCCCACTGGCCAGGGATCTGCCCCCGAGGCCAGCCCTGAGCCCCAGCCGGAAGAAGTGGACCCGACGGCATCCCTGCCCCTGCAGGATGCAGGCCTCCCCTCTGGCCAGGGATCTGCCCCCCAGGACAGCCCTGAGCCCCAGCCAGGAGAAGTGGACCCGACGGCATCCTTGCCCCTGCAGGATGCAGGCCTCCCCTCTGGCCAGGGATCTGCCCCCCAGGACAGCCCCGAGCCCCAGCCAGGAGAAGTGGACCCGACGGCATCCTTGCCCCTGCAGGATGCAGGCCTCCCCTCTGGCCAGGGATCTGCCCCCCAGGACAGCCCCGAGCCCCAGCCAGGAGAAGTGGACCTGATGGCATCCTTGCCCCTGCAGGATGCAGGCCTCCCCTCTGGCCAGGGATCTGCCCCCCAGGACAGCCCCGAGCCCCAGCCAGAAGAAGTGGACCTGACAGCATTCCCGCCCCTGCAGGATGCAGGCCTCCCCTCCGGGCAGGGATCTGCCCCCCAGGACAGCCCCGAGCCCCAGCCAGAAGAAGTGGACCTGACAGCATTCCCGCCCCTGCAGGATGCAGGCCTCCCCTCCGGGCAGGGATCTGCCCCCCAGGACAGCCCCGAGCCCCAGCCAGAAGAAGTGGACCTGACAGCATTCCCGCCCCTGCAGGATGCAGGCCTCCCCTCCGGGCAGGGATCTGCCCCCCAGGACAGCCCCGAGCCCCAGCCAGAAGAAGTGGACCTGACAGCATTCCCGCCCCTGCAGGATGCAGGCCTCCCCTCCGGGCAGGGATCTGCCCCCCAGGACAGCCCCGAGCCCCAGCCAGAAGAAGTGGACCTGACAGCATTCCCGCCCCTGCAGGATGCAGGCCTCCCCTCCGGGCAGGGATCTGCCCCCCAGGACAGCCCCGAGCCCCAGCCAGGAGAAGTGGACCCGACAGCATCCTTGCCCCTGCAGGATGCAGGCCTCCCCTCTGGCCAGGGATCTGCCCCCCAGGACAGCCCTGAGTCCCAGCCAGAAGAAGTGGACCTGACAGCATTCCCGCCCCTGCAGGATGCAGGCCTTCCTTCGATCCAGGGATCTGCCTCCGAGGCCAGCCCTGAGCCCCAGCCAGGAGAAGTGGACCCGACGGCATCCTTGCCCCTGCAGGATGCAGGCCTCCCCTCCAGCCACGGATCTGCCCCCCAGGACAGCCCTGAGTCCCAGCCAGAAGAAGTGGACCTGACAGCATTCCCGCCCCTGCAGGATGCAGGCCTCCCCTCCAGCCACGGATCTGCCCCCCAGGACAGCCCTGAGTCCCAGCCAGAAGAAGTGGACCTGACAGCATTCCCGCCCCTGCAGGATGCAGGCCTCCCCTCCAGCCACGGATCTGCCCCCCAGGACAGCCCTGAGCCCCAGCCAGAAGAAGTGGACCTGACAGCATTCCCGCCCCTGCAGGATGCAGGCTTTCCTTCGATCCAGGGATCTGCCTCCGAGGCCAGCCCTGAGCCCCAGCCAGGAGAAGTGGACCCGACGGCATCCTTGCCCCTGCAGGATGCAGGCCTCCCCTCCGGCCAGGGATCTGCCCCCCAGGACAGCCCCAAGCCCCAGCCAGAAGTGGACCCGACGGCATCCTTGCCCCTGCAGGATGCAGGCCTCCCCTCTAGCCAAGGATCTGCCACCAAGGCCAGCCCTCAGGCCTTGCAGGCTGACACAGGCTACACCCTAGAGACAGAGCCCATAGCCACCACAGCCCAACTAAAAGGAGGCAAGACTTTGGAACTGAGGCCAGCACCTGAGAAAAGGGACCCAGACCACATCGGAGGATCAGACTCTCTGGCCTTGGATCAGATCCATCTGGGTGGCCTGGAGCCAGCTGCAGATGCTCGGATACCCTTGGACAGAGATGCAGGCCCTTCCAAGCCTGCCACAGAGACCCCAGACACACCTGAGGCTGCCACGGAGGCCCCAGACACACCTGAGGCTGCCACGGAGGCCCCAGGCACACCTGAGGCTGCCACGGAGGCCCCAGGCACACCTGAGCCTGCCACGGAGGCCCCAGGCACACCTGAGCCTGCCACGGAGGCCCCAGGCACACCTGAGCCTGCCACGGAGGCCCCAGGCACACCTGAGCCTGCCACGGAGGCCCCAGGCACACCTGAGCCTGACTCCAGTGTGGAGGAAGTAGCCAAGGGCCTTTTGGCACCTGAGCAGGGAGCCTGTCCTGATGCCCATGGGCACGGGGGTGATGGAGCTGAGCCCAGCTCGCCCCTAAAGGAGGCCCCAGGGGCTGAGAACCAGGGGCGTGGAGTTCTAAAGGCGGTCGTCTGCAGCCCAGAGCCATGTCCTGCTGCCAGCCTGGAGGTTGGCCAGGTGGGGCCCCCAAGCCCAGTGGAGGAGGGAAGGGCCGCCCTGGGGCCCAGGCTTCCCGTGGCTGTGGCCTCAGAGGCTGGGCTGGGCTCCTGCCCAGAGTCTCCATCAGGGGCTGTACCCAGGCTGGGAGGGAGCTGTCCCAAAGATCCTGCCCTGGCACTTCCACTGCCCTCAAGGCAGCCAGAGCCCATGCGGGGCCTGCACAGCGGAGAGCAGGCCCGGGCAGCCCCGGGAGCCCTCAGCTCCTCCCCGCCGCAGCCTCCACAAAGCCCCCTAGGGGGCCTGCCCGGTGCACCCCAAGCCAGCATCCAGGGCGCTGAGTCCTCTGCTCCTGGTGTCCTCATGCAGACAGTCCCACCCGCCGCGGCACCCCCTGCCCCCTGCCCTTGCCAGGTCCCCGGGGAAGACCCGGGGGAGGGCACGGAGCCCCTGGGCTCTCTGGGACTCCCACCACCACGGGCAAGAGCCCAGCGGGCGGTGGCTGCCTTCTCAGGGACCAAGAATCCCCCCGCGGCCGGGCAGGTCAGCCTCCCACCCCACTCGCCCCTCCTCAGCCCCAAGGCGGCCCCCAAGGGGGCTACCCATGCCAAAGACCTGGCCTCGAGGATCTCGCCCCCCTGCCAAGTGCCTCCTGGCTCTGGGCTCCGGAGCCCAGCTGGACCTCGAGGGCTGCCAGCCGCCAAGCAGCAGGATGACCAGGACAGTTTGGAAGAAGGTGAGGGGGATCCAGGCTGGAGCAGCGTCCTGAGCCGGGGACGCCGCCCCCCCACCCCCACCCCCCGGTGCAGAGCCCGCGCTGCTCGCCCCCAGGCCCCTGTCCGGAAGGCGGAGGCCACCCTCACACCTGCCCTGTCCTCAGACTCGCCGCAGGCTCCGGGCTCCGGCCAGCACTCGGACAGCCACGGGGAGTCGTCGGCCGAGCTGGAGGAACAGGACCTCTCGGGACCGCGGACCGCGCAGTGCCCAGCCCAGGTGCCCAACCGCGGGGGCACGTGCAGCCCTGGGAGGGCTCCACGCCCCACCCTCGGGTGCTCAGACCCCTCTGTTCCTCAGGCCCCGGCAGGCGGCGGGAGCGAGGAGACCGTCACCAAAGTCAAGCAGAGCCGCAGTGAGAAGAAGGCCCGAAAGGTGGGCTGGGGCCCTGCCCCGCCGGGAGGGACCAGGCTGGCCAGCGACCCAAGCACCCAGCACTGGGGCTGGCTGCGTTGAGGGGACCCCTTCGCACCCCACGGCCGATGAAGTCCATTGGCAGGGGCCCGTTGGGTAAAGGCGGTAGCGGGACACCTCGTGCAAGTAACTGGGCCTGGGCTGTCAACTGACGTGGCCTCTCAGCCCCGGGCCGACGCCCTCTTGGACACACGGGGGGCCAGCTGGGAGGGGCCACAGAGGGTCCCCGGGAGTCGGTGGCAGAGCCCTCGTGACCCTGGCAGTATGCCGCCTCCCCCTCCCCCAGCCCCCACCGGGGACCTCTGGGGCTGCTGCCCGGGCCTGAGACCGCTGTGCCCCCAGGCGATGTCCAAGCTGGGCTTACGACAGATCCAGGGGGTCACCAGGATCACCATCCAGAAGTCCAAGAACATCCTCTTTGTCATCGCCAAGCCTGACGTCTTTAAGAGCCCGGCCTCGGACACCTACGTGGTCTTCGGCGAGGCCAAGGTCCACCCGGCCGGCCGTGGGTGCGGGGCGGGGGGCGGGGGCCGGGGGCGTGGGCCCGGCTGACAGCTGTGCTCTGTGCTGCAGATCGAGGACCTGTCCCAGCAGGTGCACAGAGCTGCGGCTGAGAAGTTCAAGGTACCCTCGGAGCCCTCAGCCCTGGTCCCCGAGTCAGCGCCGGGGCCGAGGGTGAGGCCAGAGTGCAAGGAGGAGGAAGAGGACGACGACGAGGAGGTGAGGCCCAGGGGCACAGGGCCCAGCCCCGCGAGGGGGGCAGCTTTGCTGGGGGCCTCTTCCCGGGGGAGGGGACCGCTACAGCACCTCCCTGCTTGCCCCGCTCCAGGTGGACGAGACGGGCCTGGAGCTTCGGGACATTGAGCTGGTGATGGCGCAGGCCAACGTGTCAAGGGCCAAGGCCGTGCGGGCCCTGAGGGACAACCAGAGCGATATCGTCAACGCCATCATGGTGAGTGGCCGGCCCCTTTGCAGGCGCCTTGCTGCCGTCTCCACTGTGGCCTCACATAATGTGACCCTCTCTTTGTGCGCTTCCTGCAGGAGCTGACAATGTAGCTGCTGACCAGAGACCTGGCTCCACCCCTGCCCCCAAGCTCTGCTGCTCAATAAACCGGTGTCCCCTCATCGCCTCTGCTCCTCCAAAGGCTCTCCCAGCGCAGGCTCTGGCTAAACGGGTTGGAGGAAGCGTGAAGATGCTTCCTGAAGCCACGCAGGCCCCAAGGAGGGTGGCGGTCCTTCCCCCAAGTCCCAGAGGGTGGTGGCCCCTCCCCCACGTCCCAGGGTGCCCAACTTGCGCAGAGATTGTGGGCAGTCCAGTCACCTGGCTGCGGCCCCAGGTGTGGGCCTGGGGACTGCAGTTTCCGGAAGGAACTCCCCAGATGCAGGGGCTCAGAATTTTCTGCAGAGGCCCTGAGCCGCAGCAGCTGCAGGAAGGCAGCGTTTGCTCAGGGACTCAGCAGTTCATGCCCCAAAGTTCCTGGCCCCTCACCACGGCCCAGCTCTAGGAGTCACCGTCCTCCCCGTGTCCTCTCCTCTCTCCTACAAAGGCCAGGGATCCGCAGGGTAGGAGCCACGCCCCAGGACAGAAGAGGGAGACCACCAAGTGGGAGGCCACGTGTGGGTGGAGCCCCCGGAGAGGAGGAGCAGTTCTTGACTGGCCACAGAACACTCCTGGGACACCAGGTCCCCTCCGTGCACAAGCCCAGGGTGGGCTGTGGAGGCGCCGGCCCCTGGACTAGGTGGCTATCTTTAGCTGTTCCAGATGCTTCCAGGGCAGGTCGATTTGCACACACGCCTAGAAACAACACCTACCAAAGGTCTCCCTTAGCTTTGTCCAACCCAGGCCCACAACCAGCTCCAGGAGAGCCGGGGCCAGAGCCAAGTGTGAGACCCCCTCCTCCCATCCTGCCCCGCCCCTCAGCAGGGGGGGAACCTAGGGGGCTGCAGACCCCTGCCTGGTTCCCACACGGCCTCACCGCGAGCCCACAGCCCTGCCCTCCCTCCTGCGGGCTCAAGTACCCACCCTGCTGAGCCTGGTGCTTCCCGCACACGCGGTCAGGGGCCTGAGGGGAGTGGAGCTGGGCCCTCCCGCGCCCACACAGCAGTGCCCAGGCCCCAGCCGGCAACCCGACAGCCCTGCCCGGGGGGTCACCACCACTGCCTCCCCATGTCCTAAGGGCACAGGAGGGGCTGAGCCCAGGGGGGAACGAGGCAAAGGGCCTTGAAGGGGCAGGCACAGTGCCCCCATTGGCCTTCCTGACGACCGGGGACCCTGGGCTCCAAGACGACGCACTCTCAGGGTGGGGACGGCACCTCCGGTGAAGCGGTGGTGTGCGGGTCTGCTGCGGAGACCCCACTATGACGGTGGATGAGAGCCAGGGACTGGGGCTTGGGGGAGCGGGGAGGACAGCCGGCGCCCCGCAGACAGCCCAGTGCCCAGGTCCCGCCAGCGGGGGCCTGATGTTCACGTCCACGTGTGCTGAGGACACCTGCTGTCTGCCCTGTGTCCACAACCCCAAATCAGGCCCTCCCTTTAGGCAGCGGGCATGAGCGCCCAGCCCACTGTGCCCAGCCTGGGTATGCGGGTCTGAGACAGAAGCCAGAGCGCACACCCCAGCTCCTGCCCCACTGGAGCAGGAACACGCTAGCAAGCAGAGATAAATTATTCACGTTGCAGTAAACTTCTTTCAAGGTCTCTGAGAGTTTCAATATAAACGTCATGTGCAAAATGACAGCTGTCCAGGGTCTGGCTGACAAGACCCCCTCCTGAGGCAGGGTGGCATGCAGGGGGGCGCAGTGCGGCCTTCCGCCCCAGCACCAGGGTGCCTCCTTCACAGTAGAGACACCTGCGCCCAGGGCCCCACGCGGGGAGGGCGGCTGGCAGGGGTCCCGGCGCCATCAGGCCGAGTCCTGGTCCATGCTGCAGCCCAGCGCCTCGATGTCGTTGCTGATGTCCGAGATCATGCGGTCCCACTCGTCCCCCTCCGAGGGCGCGGACTGGTCGTCAGAGCTGCCCGCGGCCCTGTTCCCGTTGGAGGTGGAGGTGGAGGTGGAGCTCATGGCCCGGCGGTACCTGCCGAAGCTGTCGGTGATGATCCCACGGCCGTCCTTCACCCCGATGGTCTCCAGGAAGTTCTCGAAGTGCTGGCTGTCCTTCTCGGGGATGAAGGGCCGCAGACCTGCACACACATGGCACACCTGACCCTGCGGCTCCCGCACCAAAGCCCACAGCCCGGGGGGGCCACCCCACCACCCGCCTGCGTCTGGCCCGGCCCTGCCTGTGCAGCGGGGCAGGCGTGGGCTGGGAGCCACACCCTCGCGTCACTCCCCTCAGTCCTCACGGAAGCCCCACCGCACAGGTTTCCAGAGGGAGGAGAGAGGAGATAGCGGAGGGGAGGGGAGGCTGACGCAGGGCTCCGAGCACTGGACCCCGCCCCCCAGCTGTGCTCCCGGCACCCAGCTGACCACCCACTTCCGGGACAGAGACCCCCTCCTATGTGAGGACAGTATGAACAGGGGCTGTGGACCCCAGCATCGGGTGGCGACTGGGGCAGTGGGGTCAGCAAGAGCTCGGACTGGATGCAGCAGGTCCGCCTCCAGCCCTTCACCCCCATGAGCAGTGCGCCCTCATCGGACTGTTGGGGGCAGAGCCCAGGACCCAGGAGCCTCCACCAGCCGCCGTCAACCAGCCGTGTTCTCCGGGGTCAGCAAGGGGAAAGCAGAGGCGCTACCGGCCTCACACGCCTGGGCAACCGTCCAGGGCCCTGTCCGTGGCAGGCCCTGAGCACCTGCCCGCCGTGCTGACTCCACGTGCTAAGCTCTCGGGGCCTCAGCTAAGGCTGCCCTTCACCGGGAATGGCGTCTTCACTCCCCCGCCCAGCAAGCTCCTGCCCCGCCTCCCAAGCCTGCACAAGCGCCACCTCCTTGCAGAGCCTCCCTCAGCCCTCGCCAGGCAGCGCGGCGCCCACCTCACCCTCAGTCTGGCTCCCATGGGGCCCCTCCCGCTTCCCCGGGGGAAGGTCCCCACCCGTCACTGGGACAGGCCCCTCCCAGCCACATCACTCAGGCCTCGCTGGCTGGCCCCATTCCTAACGGCGACCCCGTCCGTCGAGTGCTCACCGAGCAGCAGGAACTTGCGGCTGTCCCCGTAGAGCTGCCGCAGGTTGATGCAGAACTCGTGCACCGAGGCTCCATCGCGGTACTCGTGCAGCAGCGCCGCGAACTGCTGGATCTCCTGCGATGACAGCTTGGTGCGCAGCTGCCGAGAGAGCCGGGCCCGGGGCGGGGTGGTGACCGGCGCTGCCGCCCCCCTGCCCACACCCCACGTGACCCCAGAGGACCTGCAGCTCCACGGCTCCGGCCAGCAGGGGAGAGAGGAGCCCGCACCGTCCGCCCTAAGCTGCAGGCGCAGCTGACCAGGGCAGAGGGCGCGTCTGCACACCACTGCTAGGGGGCAGCGACCAGCGCCCTGGAGCCCACAGTGATGCTCAGCCAGCTGACGGAGTTTCTAATGAGAACATCACGTGAAGTCGGGGAATGGGGGTAGAAGAATCTGCTGAGTGATGACGAGGCCCACCTGGCCCTTCCAGGGAGTGACCCAGTCCTCCGCTACCGCCCGCCACCAGAGATCCAGGGACAGGCCTGTGGTCCAGCCCCGGAGGCCAGAGCAGCCCCCATGCTCAGGCCTTGGCCAACTCACGCCCTCCCCAAAGACTGACCTGGTGGGAAAGGCAGCAAGGCCCAGTTGCAAGCAAGGCGCCCACGCTCACCCCCCAGCCCCACCCATAGAGAAGCGCGCCTTCATCCCCCCCCGCCCCCGCCCCTGCCCCACCCCCGCAAGGAGATTCTAACCCCAAGGTGCCGCCGGCCCCAGCACAGGCCTGCTAGAGCACGTGGGCTCTCTGGGGCCGGGGTCTCCTGACGGCGGCGGCGGCGGCGGGCAGCGTACCGTGAGCATGTAGTCCTGCAGCAGCTCGGCGGCCGTGGCGCTCAGCTCACTCTCACTGACCGTCTTGGCGTGGGGCGCCGTCTGCATGCAGAAGGACAAGGGCGACACGCCGCCTGCATGCGCACACTCGGGGAAGGAGCTGCAAGGACGCGAGCCGAGCCGTGGGTGGGCAGCCCCCCAACCCTGCCCCGTGCCTGCACCCTCGACCCCCCATGGGGGCCCAGTTAGGGCCAGGGTCTGAGAGGAGGAGGGGGCCTGTCATGGAGGGAAGGGCTCAGGCCGGACAGAGAAAGACACGTGCAGGGAAGGACCCAGAAGGGGCCCTCAGCCTAGCAGGGTCTCAGTGGAGTGATGATGTCACTGATGTGACCCTGGGGAGCCCACTCACTGGAAGGCTCCTGAAGGGGGTGGGGGCAGGGGGAGGGATACCGACGAGGAGGGTGGAGCCAGGCAGCCATACTGGCACCACCAGGGCAGGGTACTCACAAAGTGCTGGCTTCCGTCTCATAGGACTCCTTCATGTCCACCTTTGTGGAAGAGTCGTCTGTGCAGAAAGTGCAGAACACAGAAGCTTCTGGTTACGTGAGGGAGGGGGCACTGAGTCCAGTGTCCAAGCTCTAAGCAGGAGACACAGAGCCCTGGCGGTGGGGAGCCTGTAGGCCTTCATGGGCAGAGCCAGCCAGGCCCCTGGGGTGCACCCCTTGGGCTGCACCCATGCCTGCTCCTCCTGGGGGTCTTGTGAGGTGCACCATCTGCTGCAGGGCTGGGCAGGAGGCAGGACAATGCTCTGGTTCTCGGAGGATGTGCCATGTGGCAGGGCTGGAGAGGGCTTCCCAATGGCCAGGACAAGAGAAGCACCACTGGTAGATGTGGGCACCACGCCCGGCAGCGTCCTAGGGGCTGTGCTACTTTGTCTTCTCTGATCCCAGCAGGTATCACCACTGCTCCAACTTTTAGATGAGGAACTGAATCAGAGAGGTTATGCAACTTGCCCCATGCCACACAGCTGGTGAGGGCAGAAGCCACGATCAGAGCTGGCAGGTCTGAGCCCCAGCCTGGACCCAGCCAGGCTCCACACGTGGACGGCTGCTCCCCGAGGACAGACACG